ATTCATCAAATGCAAATAACGTCCATGACAGTCTGTGTTACTCTGATTTATTTCAACAAATCTCAAAAGCTATATTTAAAAAAAATAATCTCAGTAAGTGGTTTAATATTTTGCTGCAATTAATGCTCTTCTTTGGCTTAAGCATACTGTCCAATCATTAAATAAGCTTACCAATCTCATTGCCCTTTACAGAATCTATTGAAAGTCTTTTTCCTCTCAAATACACAGAAGAAAATAGGGCAAATTTAAAAACAAAGGAAAGAATAAGCCACTCACAATCACAGAATGGCAGGGGTTGAAAGGGACCTCAGAAGATCATCATGTCCAACTCCCCTGCCAAAGCAGGTACCCTACAACAGGCCACACTGGTAGTATACAGATGGGTCTTGAGTATCTCCATAGAAGGAGACTCCACAACTCCTCTGTGCAGCCTGTTTCAGCGCTCCATCACCCTTACTGTAAAGTTCTTTCACACACCTGTACAGAACTTGCTACTCCCAAGTTTTAGTCCCTTTGCTGTGCACCACTAAGTAGAGCCTGGCCTCCCTCATTATTTACCTCCTGCCTCCCTTTAAATACTTATAAGCATTAATAAGATTCCCCCCTCCCCCCCAGTCTTCTTTTCCCCAGGCTGAACAGACCCAGGTCACTCAGCCTTTCCTCATACAGGAGATGCTCCAGGCCGATTATCATCTTTGTGGCTCTCCGCTGGATTCCTTCTAGGCGATCTCTGTCCTTTTTGAACTGGACCCAGTACTGGACCCAGTGTGGCCTCACCAGGGCAGAGGGTGCAGACCACCTCCCTTGACCTGCTGGCCACATTCTTTTTAATGCATTCCAGGATCCCATTAACTTTCTCGGCCACAAGGGCACACTGCTGCCTCATGGCCAACCTCTTGTCCACCAGAACCCCCAAATCCTTTTCCACAGAGCTCATCTCCAACAGGTCATTCCCTAACCTGCACTGATATATGCAGTTCTTCTTCCCCAAGTGCAAGACACTACAACTTTCCTTGTTAAACATTATCAGGATCCTCCCTACCCAAATATCCAGTCTGCCCAGGTCTTGCTGAATGGCAGCACAGCCTTCAGGCGTCAATCACTTCTCCTCGTTTTGTATCATCAGTCAACTTGCTGAGGGTGGACTCTATCCCTTCATTGAAGTCACTGATGAATGTTAAACAAGACTTGACCCAGCACCAATCCCTGGGGGACACCACTAGTTACAGGCCTCCAGCTAGACTCTGCACCACTGATGACTACCCTCTGAGCTCTGCCAGTTTTCAATCCACCTCACCATTCACTCATCTATCCCACACTTTCTAAGATTCATAACCAGGACGTTGTGGTAGATGATGTCAAATACCTTGCTGAAGTCAATATACACAAACATCCGCTGCTCTCCTCCATCTACCCAGCCAGTATGACACCATAGAGGGCTACCAGGCTGGTCAAGTACGACTTCCTCTTGGTGAACCCATGTTGACTACTCCTGGTAACATCCTTGCCTTCCAACTGCTTGGATGGAACAACTTGTACCATCACCTTTCCAGGGACAGAAGTGAGGATGGCTGGCCTGTAGTCTCTCTTGCCCTTCTTGAAGACTGCAGTGACATTAACTATCCTCCACTTATAAGGCACTCATTTAAACATATGTTGAAAGGGACTCAAAAGGATCACCAGGTCCAACTCCAACATTTTTGGACCACCCAAAATTCAAACCTTATGCTTGAACTCCAGCAGTTTGGGGCCATGCCCACTGCTCTGGGGAGCCTGTTCCAGTGCTCAACCATTCTTTCTGTAAAGAATTTTATCTTCACATCCAAAACTGAATTTCCCAACAGAAAAACTTAACCCTATAGAATTATGGACTGCACAACCACAGGAGATCTCTGAAAGCTAATACAGATAACAGGATGAACCCTACAGATGTGAGCACAACTACATTCTCCTTATTCTCACCATGCTGAATAACATCTCATTGAGCAAGTGGCCCACTCTGCACACAGTGCCCTGGTTACAATCTGCCAAACCATTCAGAGAAGCTGACTGAGATTCACTTCTTTTCATGGTGTGACAGGTGTGTACAGAAATTCAAAACATAGATAGTATTTTGCTTTCAGCACTGCTGAAACATATCACCCACTGCCTCACTGTGCTCACATCTGCTGTTTGGTCTCTATAAATGTTCAGCAACTGTCAACGTATACCAGTGGGTGCAATGTTTTCCACATGGAGGAATTCAATGGCTCACTTCTTCATATGCACTCCCATGTCAGGTGCCATTTTGTCACACTGCTGTTCTATTGCCATTTGACACCTAGAAACAAAATTTAACAGAATACTGCTGGGAATGTTCAACCTCTACTGCCATACCACAAACATCCTCCTCTAATGCAGTGGGCCAACATAATAAAATCGGAAGCATTATTTTCACAGCAGCCCTCTTACTTTAACATCGGAAGAAATTAGACGTGCCGAGTTTCTGAGAGGATGGGAAAGTGAAAAGCAGAAGACATTTTTTCTAAGATCAACAAAAGGCAGTAAGAACCTCCCAATAATAGCAATTATTTCTTTTCTTCCAGAACATCTCCTCACACTCCACAGATTTCTCTCCCTGCTTTAAGCAAATATTTGGCTTGTCCCCTGGCCCAAGTCAGATGACACTTGTCGAGCCTTGAATCCACTTACTCTCTTTTTTTCAAATGAGCAGTATTCAAAATTATCTTCTGTTGGGATAACGTCAAGAAGCAGTAGGGTTGGTTTCCTTTCTTTTGACCAAATACACTCATGATGAAAAGACAGGAATCAACTATCCACACTGCAGACCAAAACAAAACTGCTGTAACCCCTATGAGGTCCTTCTGCTCAATATCATCTCTCCTCACCTGCTTGCAGCTTTCCTGTTCTTTCATGTTTCACTCTCCCACGCTCTCATTCACCCCATATCCATGCAGACTTCTTTTAATTGATCCAATCAATTCATCCTCAGTTTTTCTGCTAACCTTCTGCTGAAACTAAACAACCTGTTCTGCAGTTTCAGTCTTTCGTTATCTTCATTCACTTACATTCAGTATCCACATTTACTTATCCCTTTCCAAGTAACTAGTCCACACCTGAAAAATAGTATTACTACTGATCAGAGAGAGCAGAGCAGTTTTAAACTCCTGCCCCATTACTTAAACTCCTCAGCCAGATTAGTTATAGGGCAATAGTTACAGTTAAGGTACAGAACAATTAGTCACAGGGCTAAGTTCTCATCTGTTTCTTTATCCTCTTCCCCGCATAAAAATGGAAACAAAGATGGTGGAGTTCCCACTTCATTATTCCCCTCCACATTAATGAATGGCTAGCTTGGAAAAACAATTTCCTCCACAAATTTCAAGACTCTTTTTGGTACTTGCATTTAAAGAACTTCCATTTACAGAAAGGCATGTAATTATGTCTTTGCTATTAACAATGCCACAAAGAGATAAACGTTATTTAAACCTGCTGCAAATTCTGAAGACCAAAGAGTTTTCATAACCAGGTCATTTTAAATGAAAAAAATTCAAGATTAGTCAATTCCATGCCACTTAAAGAAAAATCAGGTAGATGATAAATTTAACTTCAGCAAATTCCATCACTTCACAAAACAATTCAGCATTACTTTGCTAAATCTTGTACTATATGCTATTTTTCCCCCCACAGAATTAAGATTTAGCTTCCTCAGATCAGCTTGAGAAACTTTTCAATGCAAAAATTATCTATGAAAAGAACCAAAAAATAATTTGGATTATTTTCTTTTTGTAGAAATGGCTTCTTAAGCAGATAACTTCTTTTGTCTTCGCGATCTTCAGTTCAAAGTTAATGCAAAGTCTCCACCTGGTGGCGAATTGTATTTTGGTGAAAGAGAAACATTTTGTACCTGCTCAATCTACTCCATCAATCAGCCCCCTACTCAGTCAAGCTACTCTTTCAATTTGTTTATTACCATTAAATCAGGCAAAAGAAACCACACAATTACATCCTTGTTCTACCAGGTTTTCCATGATATTCATAAATCCCTTCCAGATCTGTAATTTGGCACTGTTGTCCTGACACTATTTTGTCAAGTTCTGTTACTCCTTTTTGATATGTACAATCCTCAAGGAGCTCAAACACCTGGAGAAAGAAGGCCATACAAACTGAAAAAAACTATATATATATATCCTGCAGAAAATGAGAATTTCACAGCTCATCTGAAATGTAAACCCACCTGAAATAAAGAAGAAGAAAAAAACAACACAATAACTAGGGGGAGAACAGTTTGTGAGGTCCTAAAACTAACCTACCAGTATCGCTGGATGTGGGAAAAAAAAAAAATAATAAATAAATAAATAAATAAATAAATAAAAATCACAATTTTAAAGAAATCAGTTTGTGGATTCCTGTTTGTCATGCATGAGCAGTCACTTCATAGCACTGCACAGAATGACAATGCACCATTTGTACTCCAGGATTGAACAAAAGAAAAAAAAAAATCCAATTGAGAACCTAAAAAAACCTCATAATCACTGTTAAAATATATTATAAACCATAGTTTTCTCTTGCTGAAGGCATTACAACTATTCTGTAAACTTAATGCAAACTTCAGAATATTTCCAAGAGCAAAGCGATCTTCTCTGTCTTTAAATCTTCTTTGCTATATTCTATTCTTGTGCATGGTCCAGCTCTTCATCATTAACTTTGAGCATCCCTGGTCACCTAAGCCCACCACTAGCAGAACTACTCCTTGATTTTAGCAGGGACAGAAATAACAACACACCATAATCACAATGACAGGTTTGGATTCGATGATGTGAAATTAAACAAATGCCTACACTCCCTTTGCCAGATACCGTGGACTCATATTGCAGAACTGTGAACTTACAGCTTATTGGTCCTTTATTAATTTTGAGAGTTTTGTACCCTGAGTACTTCCACATACAAAAAGAAACCAAGTAGAACAGACTAATGCAAATTTACACAAAATCCCATACCTACTTCAGAAGAAACCATCTCCTTTCGAGGAAGTAGACAGTACGGCCTGTCAACTCAGGCTGCTGTAGATGTCTTCTGATGTGGGGCTCCTATAGCCTTTTCTTTTGGACTGTTCCACTTTATGTGAAACACCTTTATAGCCACTGTGGTAGAGAATAACACGCAACAAATACATCCGGATTTTCACAGTGCAATTTCAAGTAAACCTCCAAGCTCCCTCGCATATCCATCCAATCCACCAACCAAACAGTGCAGAAAGAGGAGCACTTATAAAATATTCTCATGTAAGAATGAATAAGACTTTCCTAGATGCACTGCATAACAGAATAAATTATTTCAGAAGCAAAAAATACCTCTGAGGTCGTCTCCTTCAGCCTCACAGGAAACAACCTAAGCTTGTTTCCTTCAGGCACTTTATCTAATCTAGTTTTAAATAAGACATATAATGAGGCTTCTACAGCTTCCCCTGGGAACTTATTCTACAGCCTAATAGAACTAATTATCAGGAAGTTAAAATTATTTTTTAACTTCCTCCTATTACTTCTTGTTATATATATTTCATACAGTAAAACTTTTTTTTGAAATACAATAAATAGACTTCTTTTTAAAAAGAAAATCACTATCATTGTTAACAAGCTCACAGATTCAAAGTTTCCTTTCACAAAGGAAGTTATTTCTGTTGAAAACTTACAAGACAAGATCTGAGCAAACAATTCTCTACTTCTATAGATAAAACAGAAGTAACAGCACTGTAATGTAACCCACACCAGAATCTGTGTTACTGGTATCAAGCAGCTATGTCAGGTGAGCACCCATTCCCTTAAGATGAAAACTCCTTTGTTGAAAGAGATTTGGAGTATAGCTGATAAGTGAAAAGGGGCAAAAACTTGCCATAAAATTCTAACTGCCTGGATGGAATAAACAATTATTGATGAAACAAGCTCCCTGTTTATTATGAATTTATTTAGGAATGGAAAATCCATGGCCTCACTGGGACAACTGTGCCAGAGCTCAGTCAGTCTCACTGTGAATCTCAGGAGTCCCTCCACTGCAACTGTGTGTCTAGTTTGCTAACTCAGTGTTCCTCAAGCCTCCTCTTTGAACATGGAAAACATCAATTTTGAGAGAAAACAAAAGGAAAAAAAAAAAAAATGGCAATGGGCTTAATTTTAAAAAATACATCAAAATAATTTGAAAGAAAAATAATAGCGTAAATTTAAGGCACATGGACTTCTTTCAGTAGGCATTAAGCAGAACTGCAGGTTTTTTTTCATAAAAACCCTTATTTAGCAGCTTTTTCATTCCCTCCTCTTGAGAGTGTTTCACCATGGATATATAAACGAACAGGTCACAGCACCAAGGCTTTAGAACAATGGCCAGTCCTACGCCCATACCTTTTACCCAAAGAATCCTGAGTGCCTTGCTACATACAGGATGTTCTCTCTTAATAAAGAAAAAAACACCATGCAGGAGCTTTTACTATGTTGTGGTTTACTAAGAATTTATTCTCAGAACTCCTAGTACCTGAGCAAGTGCTGCAAACAGTGCACTGCACATCACTGGAAAAACGAACATTACCTTCTTATGTGGTGGATGTTTTATGAGTGACTGCTCACTACAAGTGATTTATAGACATGTAGCAATTCTGCAATGACAGAAGTGCTTGCTTATTCACCACACCAAAAACCAAGCTCTAGAAAAGCATCAAGTTTACAATACATCCTTACGGTTTTCCCATTCAGTTTGCGGCTCAAATTCCACACTGTTCAGACTCTTCCCTGGACACTTTACAGAAAACCTTGGCACTCCCCAAGGTTGTGGGACAGTAAACCCAAAGATCAGCTTCTGAGTCCTTTGTTGGATGCAGCACCATACAGCTTTGGCTGTGACTGCATAACAAGCACCAAGTAAGGAACGCTGAGCTTCAGCCAATTCTAGATGGCCAGCAGTCAGTGCAGACTCCACAGTCCTTGCCATAAAAAGAGGCAGATGCTTCAGGATACACTCTAAATGACTCATGAGCCAAAAGGAGATAGATCTCAAGGACCCAAACTGAAACACAGAATACAGGCACCTGAGACTACTCCAGCCATCTTACACCACAGGCAGGTGGTTTTTACCACCCCATAGCTCCTCATGAAGTCAGAAGCCCAATTTGTCTCATAGTGAAGTTCTATCTCAAAACACAAACGCAGTTTTCTTCCCCTTCCCCTTTCCCCTTCCCCCTCCCCCAATTTTTTCAGGTCCGTAGTTTATTCTCAGAACTATCAGCCATTTGAGTTCCCTCGCTGGAAGCAGCCTACTCTGTGGAAAAGGATCCAAGATTAATTAGGGAAAATCAAGAGTGTAAAATACAGGAAACATTTCCAGATTATGAAAGTCTGCTCTCACAGTTGTTTCATCAAGGAGTGTTTCATATACACATACCTAAGAATTCATTTGAGCACAGGCTTTCCCCTGCCCAAGGAATAACTCAGCTCCTAGACTTGACTCCTGCGGCTAGAGACATGTAATGTGGCTCTTTAATATTTTTGTTCAGAAAAACAGCTTCAAGGGGGTAAGTAGGAGACTTACAACCTGAAAGTGGGAAACTAGATAAGAAGGTCTGAACCCTTGAAGGCAAAATGGGGAATACTGGCTTAATGCAAAGGTAAGTGAAATTCCACATTGTGTGGTATGTCAGATTAGAGGAGATCAGTGGTTTCATGGCTTGAAAGAAAATGAACATAATTAAAAAGCTTGATCATATATTATGTATTAAGTTCAAGCTCCTGTGAATCAGGGTGATTATACACTAAAGAATTAATCAGAATCAAAGTCTGTCAAAGTGTTTTCACTCTTAACACCATGGTATTCCTTTAAAGTAGAAAAAAATACACTGAACTCATTTAAAAACTACTTTTACTCCATTTCCTTTTATTTGCAGCATAATCATTTCACAGAAATGGGTCTAGTCATATTTGAGGGTCACACAGTTGGATTCCTGATGTTTACTGCTCACTAAAAAATTACGCTGCAGTGACAGTTTTAATTCCTTCATTATGCAGAGCTAGACGTGGTAGTCCTAGAAACATTCTCATTAAAACTGCAGGTATAATCAAGACGGCTCTCCCTAAAGTCACTTCAGAGCCAGATAAATATTGTCATGATTTTTTCCATAGTATTTATTATAAAAAAAAATCAAATCTCTTCCTCAAGAGAAAGAAATGAGATTTTTCAAACATGTCCAAATAGTAAGAAATAGAAATGTACTGGGAATGCATATTTGTAAGTGCCATTGTCATATCCAGTCTAAACATAATATCTATATGTCTACAAAAATCAGGAATCTGGGATACACTCTTGTATCAGACCTCCTCTAAAATATCATCTACTTCTTTTTCCCCCCATATCAATTTTTCTCTGAACAAATGCAGCAAGATCAGTGAAATTTAAAGAATTCAAGAAAGGAATAAGCATCCTGAAAACACCCACCCAGAACGATGTGTGTGTGCTCAGAACCAGCAGGTGTCAGTGCAGCCTAAACATGGTTCATCAGAAACCAGAAACTGAAACATTCTCATCACAATTCTTTAAGAGGTGCTGTCACAGTATAAACATCTCCTAAATTAATCCACAAGATTCAAAAATTTGCAAACAAGTGTTTCCTGCTACCCCAACATGCTGAATCACTGTCATTACTGGGTCTGTCAATGAGGATGTCACTGTGCAAAACAAGGCTTCAAAATCTAAGTTTGCTTAGTGAACAAACATGGCAGTGCCTTTGGCAGTTTGAACACTCCTCCCAGTTCCACATCTTTGTCCAAACACAAGGAAGCAACCGCTGGCCTCACGCTATGTGAGGCTCAGTGACCAGTCCAGCATCACTTTCCCTCAGAGAAAGAATCGCATCTTGCTTTTCCCCTTCTATCCACCCATGAGCATTCAAAGGACATCAGGCCCACTTTTCTATCCAAGAGCTGAAAATGGCCAGTAGAATCAGAATTTGTGAATGCCCCGATAACAGGAGGAAGCATCTGAGAAAACTAACAGCTTGCAACAACTGTAATTGCCTCCTTAGGAGATGAGTCTACAAAAGGAAAAACTCCATACAGTAACATTAAAAGAAAAGACAGACTAGATAACAGTATTCTTAAACACCTTAAAACAATGTTGAGCCCAAAATTAAAAGCTAGAAAGCACAAGTATAATAGTTCATAATCCTTTGCAGCCATTATAGATAATTAAAAGCAATGTCGGAGGCTCTTTTGCATCCATCAGTTTGCTTTCATAGAAAAGTACACCATTCATTAGTTTAAGAGTTCTTCATGCTTCACATTCACATTTCATTTCTTGAAAACGAACTTGTAAAATCTTCACAAAGTCAGCATTAAAGCCTAAATTCATGCCTGAAAGCCAAAAACTTCTGTGGTTCCTGGGCCATTCCAACACATAGAAACTAGCCTGTCTTGTCAGTACTCCTGAATAACCACCCCATGTCTCCAATAAAACTCCAATTAAAAAAAAAAAACAAAAAAAAAACCTCATAATGTGTACCTCTCTTTCACATAAGGCCCAGCTTCCTTTGTAAAGCATGCCAATGAGAGTATAACTTAGCAGCACAGAACAGAACAGATGAAGAGTGACTTTTATCTACGAAGTTTTACAAGTGAGCAGGCAGAAAAGCTGCACCATTTGTACAGCAGTCAAAAATAAACCTTGAATGAGGATAGCTGTAATAATCCACTTGACTGCTGCTGGCCTAGAGGGCAAGGAACATTCCTTGGTACCATCTCACAAAGAAGGCACACATTTTCTCCAATGCATTCACCAATCACTGAGGTCAAAAAGTTTCAAAACATACAGAATTACTTCAGCAAGGCACGCTGCGCACAGAAGATTAGCATTTTTTTATTCTTATCAAGAAGGCAGAACACTGAATACATCAACATACATGCAGACATTTCAATTCCACATAACTGGTTATCACTCATAAAACAAAAGGAATCAATGTCACTTAAACAATTTACAGAAAAAATAACGCAGAACACCACTAAATGATAAGCAGTAGTTTCCAGCTGTGTTTTACCAGACCAAGTAGTGTTTTTTTTTGTTCAGAATTACACTTGCTAAAAAGCAAAAGGAAAAAAGTCATTTATGCCCCTGTACCTTTCTTCTAAGTACAAATTTATCTCAAGTACTTCACCAGTATAGTCTCTCCCTTAAAAAAAAAAAGTGCGGTATGTCTGAAGTTGAGGGTAGGGGAAGTGCTCATTAAAGAAACAAGACTGAGAACAAAATCCATAGTTAGCACCCCAGTAACAACTGTAATATAACTCTATGATGCCCTTCTTCAAAGTTAGCAACATTAACGGCCAAAGTCCTCTCATTTTTCAGGTACTGTATAATCCTGAAAATACCTTCTATTATTTAGTTTTTAACTCAAGCAGCTTGATTATTAGTGCTTCAGAAGAGAAACTACTATCTCAAAGTAGACTCAGTATGCATTAAAAATAAAAGTCTCACAAATAAACCTAGCGTGCAATCTTCATAAATCAGAAAGATTTATTTTATATCACTGTTATTACCGGGCTCCATGTTGAAACAAGAGATAAGCAATGATGTACAAACACATCCAAATTAAACCAATATATTTTACATTATTAAAAACACATTTAAAAATATTTAGGCTGTATGTGAACACTACACGAACAGAACTGCCATTTAAGCATCCAGATCTTTCAAAACACAAAGACAAGCAAGATGTGCTATTACAACTGAGTGATAACCAGAAACAAGAAGCACGGTTCATTAACCCTTAGAACAACCGCACAGGCATTTAAACTAAGTATCACTTAGCACTACAGTGAGGTTAGTCTCAACAAAGTAAATAGAAAGTTGCTTAAGTTCCTTATGCAGTAAGGAAGTTATTCTTCTAAACCTGCAGTTCAATTATTACTGAAATTCTCTTTCAATTTCACACAACTGTCATTACAGATTGGGGTTTATCAGAATCACAACCAGTGCTTCTGGGAGTGTTCTAGGAGAAATCAATTTTACTTTTAATGTCATCACACTGCTGAAAACTTCCTTCACAGTGTAGTCTATATATAGTTTGGTTGGGATTTTTTTTTTTTTTTTGGTCTTATTTTGAACTCAGATCTTTTATTGCTGGCATATAAGCACCCTATCAGAACCCATTTTTGAAGCTTTATCACTAACTGTCCCGTGCTTCAGATTCTTTTTTTTATTTCACTTTTTTTTCCCCTGATGAAAGTAAAGCAAAAAAGTGTTTGATTTAATTATAATCTACTTCACAACTTCTACTACAACTAGAATTTGTATTAGGTTGCAAACGCAGTTTGGCTGATTCATTTCTATCAAGTGGAGTAAGGCTGCACCCACTTGTAGAGTAGACTGCATGGCCAGCAGCAACTAAGGAATGAGCCAAATTACTCTCCCCATACAGAACATCAACCTCTAATCTCATTCCAGCGCCATAGTGGTTAAAATGAAATATGAGACCCGGTTTACCAAGAAGCTCTTGAAACAGAAGCTTGGCTTCACTACTCCAGTATTCCCCTGCAGCAGGAACCATACCATGTAAAGAGCAAGAGTATGCCAAGCGTGGTAAGTAAGACAGAGCTTCTGGAATAACTTTAAGTTTATGGATAGCTGAATAGGGGATGCTTTTCAAAAAGCCATAATCAATAAACGTAAGAACAACAGACTGACTTGTCACTTCACTAATCTCTGCCCTGTTCCACTGTGCTTCCACTCCAAATTGGATCAAGCAGCTGGTACCAGGAGCTACAGATTCTTCAGGCAAAGCAGGCAAGTTCTCAGGAATATCAGAGAGCAGCAAAGTCAACTTCTTCATGCAATCAAATGTGTCTTTAAATTGGACACAGAAGTTTGAAGGATCAGTAACCATAGTTGCAAACCCAGCGTACCTTCCGTCACTTTGCAGAGGTATCCACATGACTGAATTTAATCTGACAGATTTAGCAAATTCCTTACAGTCCACATTCCCAGATTTTTCCGATCCAATAGTCTGACAAAGGCTTGAAGGCTGATCCAAGTACTCAATGAGCAGAAATTCCCCTATTAAAATTTCTACTTCCCAGATATGAGAGGATTCCAAATATCTCAGAAACAAGATCCTTATTTCACGACTTAGGAGTGCATTTACTATAGGGACAAATGGAATATTCAGTTTTTTAAACCAAACCCATTCACAAAACACAGCTTGTTTAGGAATCCTTTTCATCTCATTACTGAGACTCTTTGCATTATTTAAGGACACCACCTCACAGTTGCCATAATCAATGAAATAAACCAGCATTAGCTTCTCCCTGATAAACATCTTTATCACTTTTGAGCGATACCACTTCAAGTTCCTTTCAGATTTTGTCATGCACTCCAACCCTTCTTCAATGTTTTCCACTGTAAGCAAACCACTTACTTGTGCTTCTTTGACCAGCATTACGTTTAAGTCATTTAATATTTGCAAATTTCTAACTAACTGCACATTAAATTCCCCATCCACTGAAACATTCATTACTTCTGCTCTTTCTACTTGTTCAGAACTTAAGTCTTGAGGAGGGATATCTATATGTGTTTCAGAAGTATTTTTCATGTTAACAGCACAATTTTCCCCCTGATCCCCTAAGCCATTCATGGACTTCCCACCTTGAGCACTCTCATTTGTAACCTGAATTTGTTTTGGCATACTTTCCCAATCATGCACTGGTTTGTTTTGCAATCCTGCCTTGCCTTTTCTCTGCTGAAGATCATAAGACAAAGACTTCCCATCACAAATTATTTCCACTTCCCACTGCTCTCCATGTCGTTCTGTGAACTTGCAAGTGACTGGCTTACCATTTATTTTGCTTAGAAAATAGGAAGTACCTTCATCAGTCCAGCTTTCATCAGAAGTTTTTACTTTGCTAAGGAAACAATGAGTGCTGAGCCTCGGAAAAGTTAAGAGTTTTCTTTGAATTCCGCAGATTTTGGAAGGGCTTACAACTGCTGTATTACCATAGTCAATGAACTCAACCTCATACGAGTTTCCTGATTTCAGAGCTTTGATAACTGCCCTGTAGTAAAAACTGTCAGCGGCATGCTCTGCTAAAATGAGATCCCCTACCCTGAGCTCATCTAAGCCACTTTCACGATGGGTATTCACCACACTTTCATTTAATTCTTCTTCTAGTTGAATTATTAAGTTTTCATCTTCTACAAACTGAATGTAGAAACTTGATGGATTATTTATGTGAGAAATATACACTTCCACTTCAGAATTCATCTGAATATCACGTGGAGGAAGACTAGTTAATTCAGAAACGTTCTCATTACTCTTTTCCTGCCGACCTGTATTGGTTGGTTGCTTGGTACAAGATTCAGAGGGAGCATTTATAGCTATTCCATTCAAATCTGAAGGATAACATTGTGATAGAGAAGCAGGCTTTCCATCCAGATGTTTCTCTCTGCATTCCAGGACAGCGCAGACAGTTTCACGAAAAAGTGGCTCTTCACTGTCCTCAGAACTCAATGGGCTGGAGGACTCACTATGCAGGTCATGTGTGCTACCATCAGCTTGCTCTTCATCTCCAAAATGCTGTTCTGCATCTGTCTGGCAATAGTCACGTACCTGACGTACCAGTTTAGTTTTCAATTCAATTCTTCCATGATTTTTAGCATTTCCTTCTTTAACTTCTTTGTCAACTTCCACGTGATGCGCCACTTCATGATTTCCAGCATATCGTTCTGTATAATCCGTAACAACTGCCAATTCCTCCAATATTTTTTCTTCAATTTTCTGACCCACTTGGAGCTGTTCATCATACAGCTCTACAACAATCTGGCCATTTGATTCCCTGGATACAATCACAGCCCTCAGCAATTTACCAAGGAAAGTCTCCTCAAACCATCTAATAACACCTGCTGGAACATTTTTCTCCCTGAAATCTGACAGACGGCATTTAATAGCTTGCATGGGTGTGAATATAAGGTCTGTGGCAGAGTCTGGAAGAGGCATCACCTGGTCTCTCTCTGTCATCTGCTTATTTCCAAAATCCACAAAGTCAGCATATAAATAAGACGTTGATTTCATAGGAGAGACCAAAGCTCTATAAAAGAGACCATCTTCAAAATATCTAGCTATACATAATCGCATATTGCTAGTATAACATTTTGTGTGATCTGCCAGTTTGCTCGTTTCACTGACCTTCTTCATCAACGCCTCTATGGTTTCAGTGTTTCGATTAAGCTGGCAATAGAATTTTGAAAAGCTATGTATATGAGTTATGTAAATTTCTTCCTCGCTTCCAATTTTTATATTAAAAGTTGAATAGAAAAAACTGTACAGAGAACCCAAAGGTACAAGCCTCTGCAACTCAATACAGTCAGAGTGGTTGAGTCCACATTCCCTGAGAAACTCCTCTGCACCAACAAATGGAGTCTGTAAGTCAACTATATTGCATAAACTGCTTGAACTAAGAACAAGAGCATAGACAGTGCAAGTCAATGGTCCAACAGAAGCAGAAATGAAATCTTTAAAGTGTCTACACACTTCTTCAGGCCAATTAAATGCATCAGTCTGTAAGGGTGCATTTCTAAGTGCACACTGAAATGCCTGACTTTCCAGAGTTAAGAAATCTGGAAGAATAGCCTGAAGATCATTAAGTACAACTCTTTCCCGATAGCCATAATCTACAAAAATCACATCAACCTCATCTGAGGATATCTGCTGTACAACAGCTGCTCTGTACCACTTCCCATCTTTGGGACATTTAACAACACAGGCAACCTGTCCAGTTTTGTAAGGATGGGTATGTTCTTTATAGTAATTCTGGATTTGCTTCATTAAACTATCTAGCTCTGGTAGTTTATTTTGCAACTGGCATGAAAAATCTGCTGGGGAAACACTGTAAGAACACACCACTTCAAAAACAGCTCCCGGTTTAAACACAAACTCTTTATAATGTATTTTTTCCTCAGGCTCCGATTTATGACCTTCAGAGGGAACATCTTTTCCGAACGAGGACCGTGTAACAGACTTTCTCAGCACAGAAGGCATGTTTACTGTTTTTTCCTTCTGAACTACTCGTCTACTTTGTAATGTGCTGTTTTTATAAGTTTTAGAGGCACACAGTGCATTTACATGTTTTTGTCTAGATCTGCTTTGATTCCGGGCTCGGAATTTTTTGCACGCATTCAGAGCAGAATCTGATCTCCTTTCCCAGTATTCTGCATATCCAGCCTGAACCATAAGTGCAGCAACACTGCATTTCTGAGAAGCAATATTATACAATGCATTAACAGTGTATTTGTTACCATGCTTACCAATGACCTGAAACATCAGTACTCTGTTAGATACAACCTCTTTGAAGAAATCATTCTCCTTTTTAACCCACATATCATCAACAGGAAAAGCACAAGCAAGTTCACAACACATGGCTAAAGCTGGCAAACTGGAAAACTCCGGAAGCAATGTTTTCACATCATAAGAGGGCACTAGGTCTGTATTCCCAAAATCCAAAAAATAAACAGTAACATTTACATCAAGCACTTCAGTGACAATACCTCGATAATAATGTCCATCTTTGCTATACCGAGCACAGCACAGTAATCCAGGTTCTGGGTTTTTAAGGACTCTTTCCTCAGCTCCACACTGGTTATACACATCTGCAATATTTTCTGTCAAGGCTTGAAACTCATTCTGATACGCACACATTTGAATCCAGAAGTTGGATGGGTTTATGACATACACCACAAAAGCAGCATGATGAGAATTCATCTGCATTTCTACACGTTTGCAATGACTTGATAAAGTCTCACCCCATTCAGGTAAGCAGCTTTTTGTCTGTCTATTTCCAGCAAAACTCTCACATGACTTGTGAGAACTGCGTGTAAAGCACACAGCATGTGCTCTGCAGCTTACACCAATATTGGTGATTTTGGTTTCCAAAGGTGAGACACATAAGGCAGCTCCTTCATTCAACTTTTCTGGATGCTCAGTATTAATTCCAAGATTTTCACCTGGCAATGTAATGTAATACAAGTGAGCACTGGCATCAAATGAGTTAACATAAATATATACAGAATTTTGTCCTGCCAAGGCTTGTATAAACCTTTTCAGCTGAAGTTTTATTACCGCCTTATCATCATTACCAAAACAAGACAGCGCACACGGAAATGAAATCATTGGTAGTGACATGAACTCTGCTAGAAGCTTCTTAACACAACTAGATGGTACAGCTTCAATGCTACCAAAATCCATAAACCAGACTTCCACAGACAAGTCTGGTAAAAGCTGCCTTATCACTCCTCTATGCCACTGTCCATTTTTCCTTTTGGCAGCACAAAATTGTCCTAAACTATCAGAAAATGTATTATTTTTTGTGCTAATATCTTCATAATACAAGCACATAGCTTCTGTCAAATTTTCCAGCTCTTTTTGCCATTTCTGTATCTGACAGTAAAATTTACTTGGGCTTTCTGCGGTAGTTATTTTTACACTTACCCTACTGTCAGCTGGTAGATTCGGAAAAAGAACATCTGAAAATAACCAGGAAGAGTCTGATGGTTTCTCAGGATTACTAAAACTAAGTAACTCCTGGACTGAAAGTTTCTGTTGCAGAAATTGTGGCAGTGTCCTGAACTGCGGGGGAAACACTTTTAACATTTCTACAATAAGACGAAAGGAATCTCTATCCACAAGTTTCCCTAAGTTCAGTTCAAGAACATCACTGATGATCTTCGGTACTTCAAGAATAAACAACTGGTATGATGTGACAGCTTCTACATGACCTGTGACCTCTAATCCCACCAGTGATGAAAAATAATTTATGGCTTTGGGACTCCATTTTTCTCTAAGAGGAACTATGTTTGCAAAAATCCCACAAACTATCATTGGTGGCAGCTGGAAAAATTTATCACAAGCAGAAGCAACATGCACTTCCTCAACCATTACCACTTGCCCAGTGTCTATGAGGAAGGTCTCAAAAAAATGCCCTTTTTTTTCCAAAACTTTTCCTCTAAACCAATTTCCTTCTTTGTCTTCCACAAAGCAAGATCCACCAATGTCAACATTATCTTTTGCTTTGAATACACGTTGTATTTCTTGTTGTAGTATGTGGTAGTCAGGTTCACACCCTCCCTTGCGTTCACCCTTGAATGCTATAAGCAAGGATTCTCGTCTGCACTCTGTATGAATTATCTTCAGATTCATATCTACTGTGTCTGATGAGGGAGTCAGAAGTTCCATTCTGTCTGCAAAGAAAAGGAGCAAGATCAGCCTGATAAATTTCCATATTTTACTTTATCAACTAATTCCTTACAGAAAGCTTTTAGAATGTTTTAATAGCATCCTTTTACTGATCCAGCTAAAATGCATACTAAGCATTTAACATTTACCAGTTTCCTCTTTTACTTTTCTGTGAAAAGATATCCAGAAATACTCAAAGAAAAAAAAAAATATCTCTGGTGTTGCTCTTGTGACTATAGTCTAGTTTCCAAAACAATACATAAGAGAGGGAGGAGGAGGTGCAAGACCATGAAAATATGTTACCATGTTAACATATGTGTATATATATACAGCCTCTACTCATCTCACAAAGGTTACTTACATAGTAAATTCAAATACTACGTTCTCCGTGGGAGATTCAGTCCAGAGTTTTGCCCTACTGGATCTGCAGTTACAAGAATTTATCTACAGAAGCGTTTCTAGTCCATTCCTTCCTTCTAAATACTGGGATGACAAAGACTCTTCTCATCCTCTTGTTTTAGTGCAAATCATTTCTTCAAATCAATGACACTTCATCTTGCTGTGTTACACCATTACATACAGCTGCACTGTTTGCAAAGCTCTTTAACAGAACAGCAGCTCTCATCAAAAGCAGACATAAAGGAGTGAGTGGCCACATAACCTGTGGTCGGAAGAAATCTGATCCCTGTCATTCTAGTTCTACTCTACCAAAAAGCTTACCAGAACACCTTGTGCTGAAGAAGGAAGAGATGATGCTACAGACACACAGCTTTTCCAGAACAGTTTAAAAAAAAAAAAAAAACACAACGGAAACAAAATCTCTCAATAGAAGCAGTACCAAACCCAGCTCCGGCAAACAGCTTCTTAAGGAATTCCCTCAATTCCTCACCATTTCCCATAATAAGACAGAAAACTAAACCTTCAAAATATACTTTTGTCTACCTGATAAAAACATCTGAGAATAAAAACTGAGAAGACGCATCATTGATGCTTTGGCGCCTTGTTTCTCTCAGCGAAACACATAACAGATGGAAACAACTTTTCATCAGCGCTTTTTTGGGGCAGTTATCATAACCCCAAATAACAACATCACACTGCAGCACACCTATTCCTACAGCTTACAAAGTGAGCCCTTCCTTCACACTCACCTACCCGACATGGAGTGTTCTTTCAGGGCACACTTCTCAGAAGGCTCAGACTCTGTATCTCTCTAGAAGATAACAAGACATCATTACGTAATGAAACTTCTGTTTTCTAAAAGCTCCCAGCTCTCCTCAACACAGCCCAGAAGAGTAAATCAGGGTGTGAGGAACCCACAAAGATTTACACAGTGCCACCACGCCCGACAACGAGATCACCGAGCACACCAACAGCAGAACCCCGGAATAGAGGCGGAGCCCCGCGCGCCCGCCCCGCAGCCGGCACGAGGCTCCAGCACCACCGCAGGCGCTCAGCGGAGCGAGGGCTGCGCCCGCACCGCGCCGTTCCCCCCACGCGGCCGCTACAGGACGAGACCCCACAGCGAAAACCGCCACTCACGAGCACGAAACCGACGTGTAAAAGCCATTACCTCCACAGAACGGCAGTTCGATGCCACCCGGACGCCGGACGCCAGCAGCACCACAAGACCACCGCGCTCCGCCAGCCTACAAAATGGCAGCGGGAGCACGGCCGAACACACCGAGACCAGCGCGCCACGCGAAACAAAGGCTCTGCTAGCGTGCAGGGCGGGCCTTAGGGTTGATTGACGGCGGCGCTCAGCCAATCAGCACGGCGATGGGCGAGAGGCGTCGCGTCCCTCGTGCTGAGGGCGGGAGGGGTGGAGAGGTGTGGGTTTAAATTTCCCGTTCTGGGTGTAATAAAGGTGCTCACGATAAAGACACGTGGTGTGAGAAGCAGTGCTCCTGAAAAGAACAGTGAAGTATAGGAGCAAGCTGCCCGGATGGTGGAGTCGTCATCCTTGGATGTGTTCAAGAACCGTGGCTCGGAGGGATGTGGGTAGTAGGTCAGACTGGTGGCAGTTGGACTAAGTGATCTTGGTAGTCTTCTCCAACCTCACGGATTCTATGATTCTATGAATAAAGTAATGTAGAAATGCCCTATGCAGTCTCTCTATGCCACCGTTTTCCCATTTGGTGCTTTTTTTCAGCTATAAAACCAACGTGTTAAGCCAGCCTTGGCTTTCTTCCTAGCAGCATACATTAAGTTTTCACACCTGTACGTGCCTTCAGGCAGCTTCTCGTGGAGGCTTTCCTGCAGGAGGCATCATTCCCTGCCTGAACCCCTCTAACAGGAGGCAGAGTCTTAAGAAAGGCTCTCCAAACCTGAAAATAAATGTCTGCAGCACAAGGAAAGAGTGATTTAGCAGCTAAGCATCTGTACCGTGCTTTTTTCTTTTTCTTTTTTTTTTTCTCCCCCACATAAATGTGCTAATCTGCAAATACTTATTGCTTATTTGCAGGTACCGTGTTTTGTGTAGATGTACTGGTGGGGAATTTAGGGCACTCTTCTAAAAAGACTAGACAAAATTGAAGGTTTCTAGAAAATACAGCTTCCAAGTGTTCGTCTGCTTTAAAGAGGTGCATGTGCTATTTCTAAAGGTAGAATGCTACTATATTTAGCACAAAATAACCTTGCAATACTGAAATTTTCCCTTCTCTAGGATGCTTTGAAGCTGTTTAACTAGGTTAATTTACGTATGTTGCTTGATGTTACATTATCAGATTTCACATCCATCGCATTAATTGGGCAGTTAGGTAAGAGTGAAGGTAATTAGTATTACGTTTATAGAGAGCAAAATTAAGACTAAATCTTGTAAAGAATTTACGTTATTGCGAGATTAAATCCTCAAAATGAAATGTAGAATCCAAAGTAGGCATCCAAGCCTTTCCAGTGCGAAGGGAGAGTGCTGCCTCCAAGTGACAATTCAGAAGCCCTGTGTGCTGCATCAGCAGCAATCTTGTGCTCATTAATCTGGAGATTATGAATATGTTACAAAAGAATGTGGGGTGGGACTGTGCTTTTCTCTGTAACTTAAGCTGAAGTCATCCCTGTTCAGACTACAATCCAAAATTCACTCCTGAAGGCACAGCGCTATTTTTCTTATATTGACATCTTGCCATACTCAAATTACAGTACTGATGGCAACTGTAATATAATGATCTTATGGCTAGAACAGTCAGAAATTGACTCTTTCAGCAAGAGTGACTTTTAAAGTTGTGTTCCACTTCCCTGTAAGAGTGCCTTGGCCATGGGCAGTGTGATGGAATGCAGTTTGTCCCTCCTGTTTGAAGTTGTGCCACTGTTGGTGGTAGAAAAGGAAAAGAAAGGCATGAGTAGATAGTCCCGCAGGGCAGAATGGATGATGCAGCTTTCTCTCCTCTTTCCAGAAGGAAAGAACAGCTATTTTGCTGTTTATGCCTTTTGTATAGATCTTCTTCGCAGTTTTTCTTTTCTGCAGCCAGTGAGGGAATTGTGGAATTGTGGCATTATGCAGGCACATATGTGGCATTTTTTTTGGTAGCTCTTTGGTTTGCTCAAAAATTGTATGATTTTTTTTCCCCAGACTTAGTATCTACATTGGCAAATACATATAAAGCATATTCCCTGTTACCTGGTTACCGTGAGTTAACCATTAAATATTTTTGCTGATTTATTCTGAAAGTAGGTTAACAACTTTCTAGTAAGCTTACTTTTATCTTACTGACAGAAATCAAAATAATATAAACTAAAATGGAAAAAAAAAAGGTATTATTTCAATCTGTGAGCACTTTATCACTTAACAAATCCTGAATAGAAAATACCTCAAAGATGAAACTCCCAAATTGAGCCTCATGTTGTCTTTTCTCTATATCAAACTAATTAACAAGGAGGCTCTTCATATAGTCTGAGATACATGTATGCACGTCCACTTTGGAATGTTGCCTGAATGTTTTCATGAGAAAAATCATGCTGAAAGGCCCAAGTATTCAGCCTTCTCTTCAGGAAATTTTTACTGTGATTTGCCGTAATAACAGTTAATGAAAAACTGAAACTTTTCACTGGAAAAGCCTTCTGTAATCATGGGATGAGGTGGCTGCATGTACTCATTTTTATATTGTAAGAGATGGTGGTCTGACCGTTTTACTATGTTCAGTACACTTTCATGTTGGATTTCTTGTGAAGAACTGGATATTAATTTTCCTTATAGATTGAAGTGTAATGTAAAGAAAATAAAACTGTTCTTCAACTACAGTTTAGCGCAGTATCATAAATGAAGTTCTGCTGCCAGCTGCCTGCCAGGAGGTAGAACATAGCAATGTGTGGGGTGAGCAAAAGCTGGACATATTCTGCTGTTTCTAACTGTCTCTCCCTGGGATTGTCAGCTTCTCTTCTGTCAGAGTTTTAAAATAACAGTGAGCCCCACTGAACTCCCTGACAGGGGAAAAAATGGCTGACCATCAATCTCCATGGATGGCAAGAGTTACTGGCTAGAAGAGAAGGGGAGTATCTCCCCAGCTGAAGGGCAAAGAAAGTTTTAAGACTTCATCCTGCACTTAATGTTCCCTTCCTGATGATGGTTCTGTGAACAGTATGCTGATTGGACTGAATCCCCTTCTGAAGAACCTGGCATTCACTAAGAACAATGTAAAATTATAACTGCTTTGATTAGTTCCTCACATGAGGAGAGCCAGAGGATTAGACACTACCCATCCTACTTTTAATCTCTGACACTTCTGGGATCTGTCTTTTACCGTTGTTTTGATTGTTTCTGGATATTAATATTATAAAACTTACTAAAATAGATATTCTTTTTCATTTTAGTCTGTCATAACAAAGCCCTTATAAGGTAGGCCCTTTGAAATTGTCTGTTATAAGGTTCATTTATTAGGTCGCTATATAGTGAAGATTTTGGGCATAGTAACTCATGTTCCATGCCTTAGTTCCAGTCCTCTCTGAATTCAGTCTCGTGCAAACTTGAAAATGCAGCAGTGTTTTCTTATGGTCATCGATGTTTATTTATTGCATGTAATGAATTGCTGTTCAAAAAGGCAGTACTACATTCCTGTTAATAGCACATGTGATGGTCTTTTACTTAAAAATATTTAAGTAAATATTCTTAAAAGGGACAATGTATGAAACACGTGGGTATGAATGAGTGGCAACAGCAGAAACAGAAGACATTAAAAAATTCTGAAAATGGAGAATGAAAACACATTTTACTGAAGACAAATCTCACAATAAGCGGAGCATCCTTTTTCCAGCTTGGCTAAACTCAGGATTATTGTTTTAAACGATGAAATTTACTTTAGAGATAGGGGATATAAAAAGAATCACATAATTCTGTTGCCTTATCCTGAAAAGATCACAGTCTTCAGAATTGTTCATGTTGCAGGATCAGTATATCACTGTTGTGATATTTTTTTTTTTTTTCTGAAGTCAGTTCAGGAGTTTTGCTGTCTTTTGTAGTAGACTTGGAAAAAAACCAAAACAAAACAGGACTCTAAATAATCATCTCAAAATAAACGTTTGTGCACTTTTTTTTTTCTATTTTGTCTTTGAAAGTGTGTTCTCAATGCGTCCTGTTATGTTAACTTGAATGATAGCCACTAGGTGGCAGGAACAACCACATGTTTAGCCGGATGCTCCAAAATACACGTGTGTTACTTCAACAGAAGGAAGGAGTGCAAGAGCGATTACTCCCATCTGACCAATAATGAAATATAAGGGTGCAAGAGCTGCAGAGTTTCACTAGAAGGGTCATGACATTCATTGCACCATTTGCAACCATTTACTTTTTTTTTTTCAGGCAAACTGGGCTAAGTCTGAAATACTTTTAGTGCATTATGCCTATTTTCTCAATATGCTGTCAAACTTTCATTTCAAATATTCTAGTAAATCACGTGCCAATCTTCTGCTACTGTATTTTTAAAAATTACCTTAATATAGTTGCTAATAAGAAGTTAGTTATTAACTCAGCAGTTTACATATGTGGAACATGGAAACAGCTTTTGTGAAATACTTTCAGCAATAGGAGTAGTTATTGCTTCTTTTTAAAACACACCTTGCATGTTAAAGTGGCAGTTACGCTCATAACAAGGAGAAGAGAAATGGATTACCTCAGAACTCAGAAATACAAATATTTTCCAGTTGAAATAGCAAATTGAGATTTGTTAAATAATGGGACAAAGCAAAAGGTAGAATTTCTGTCAGTAGGGGCCACACAAAGCATATGAGTTTTGTCGTAGTAACTACAACACTCCAATACAGGTATGTACATACAGTCTCAGTATCAGTGGTGAGACTGAGTTTCCCTCTTGTGCAGTTTTTGTGGTGCTATGTGATAAGGTTTTGCCACTATATCATCTGAAATGTCAATTAGGCCACCGATATTAAAGCTGTATAGTATCATGTAGCTGTATACTATCATACAGAGATGTATAAGTATCATATAATGGTTTGGCATGGAAGTGTTTTTTAAAGATCAAAATTCCTTGCCGGGGTGGAGACATCTTTCACTCAATTACATTTCTCAAAGCCCCGTCCAACCTAGCTTTGAACACTTCTTGGGATGGGGCTCACACAGTTTCTCTGGACAGTCTGTTGTAGCATCTTTCCACTCTCTGATGATATTTTTCCTTATATCTGATATAAATCTACAGTTTTTCAGTTTAAAGCTGTAACTCTTTGTCTTCTTACTTCCATGCCTTCGTAAAAAGTCTCTCTCTGTATTTCTTATACACCCCTTTTAAGTACTGAAAGGCTGCAATGAGGTCTCTATGGAACCTTCTCTTTTCCAGGGTGAACAAGCCCAGCTCCCTCAGCCTGCCTTCAAAGGACAGGTACTCCAGCCATCTGATCATCCTTTTTGGCTTCCAGATGTACTATAACAGCTCCATTTCTTCTTTATGCCATGGCCCCCACAGCTGGATGCAGTACTGCAGGTGAGGTCTCACAAGGGCAGAGCATAGGGAAAGAATCACTTGCACAACAATTTTACATTGGTTAACCAAATGTTCTGTGCTGGTAGGGAGAGTCTCATGTTCCTTCTACATTAGCAGTACCCATGGCACAGCTGGAGTAGATCTGACAAGTGAAACATTGGTACTGATGACCCAGTATGCACATCAAGCAGATCTTAAGGGCAGAACTATTATGTAAGATGAGTTCTAGAGTAGTCACTTGGACTGGATGTCCAGTAGCATTTGAAAAGATTTTTTTTAGTCACATTCCACGGGATTCTTGCATGTGTGCACCGAAATAGGTCTGCAGGGTTGATCAAATCAGGGTAACTGAGGATGTTTATGAGATTCACTTCCAGTTCTAAATTAAATTTAATGAAGAAGCACCTAGGAAGAAGCTATACTTAGGCATTCAGTGGCAGAATTCCTAGTGGAATCCATGGCAGTTGGAGAGAAGGACTAATGAAGAGGTCGATAATTGCTACAGAAAAAGCAGTAATTAGCTTCAGAATAGAATTTTAACAATTTCAGTTCTTTAGATTCAAAAGGTTCTATTTCTAGCAGAAGATATTGAATTTCTAAAAATTTTACATGTATGGCAAGAAGTTTGAGATTTTTTTTTAAGTACCTTTGAGACTTTTTTAAATACTGAGATTAGTTTTCTCTGAGGGAAAAATAAAGTCCCATATGCAGTGACAATTCTGTGTCTTGAAATGTTGAATGTTTCTGATGCATAGTAGAACAATACATAGTGATAGTGGGTAAACTGATTAATTTGTGAGTGAAATCACATGAAAGAAGATGTAGCAAAAGACTTTCTAAGTCATCTATTTGTTTCTGAAAAGATCAAGTGAATGATTTAAAAGGTTTTTAAAATTATTCATGATTATTCTTCATTTCAATTAACTAATTCTGGCCTTAGCCCTACAAGCTGGATGTGAAGAAAGATGTTTTGCTTTCTGCAGAATTTAATGGCCACCACGGGTGTCTGAACAGGTACGCATTCTGTAGATCTGGTGATATTTTTGTGGTCTTAATTCATGCTCATGTAAAATCCTAGCAAACTTGTGTGTGAATTTTACATGTTCAAATAAAAATCAAACTTTCCACAGTATTAACCAAATAGTTGTTTTGGCTCAGACCTTGTCTATGCAGGTATTCACTGGGATGCATAATACTTAAGGAAGGTACTCCTACTTGGAATCTTTAGGTACAATTTTTATTAAAGCTTTTTTTTTTTTTTTTTTTTTTAAAAGAAAAAAAAGGATTAGTACAGAAAACAGCTTTGATTGCTTAACTCTCTTCATCTCATAGTTCAGGTATTTAAATTCTACAGGGTTTTTTTATTCAGGAATATTGA